TAGGATAAATTTCTGCACACTGAATGTATACCACCAGGTAGCTCATAGTGATGAATAGTTTGCTCAGGATATGTATGGAGATGTTAAGCCACACAGCACTATCTGGTTGTTAAGTGTAAAAATATTTGTAAATAACATATAAACTTTGATATGTATGGTTATTTTCATTTCAAAAAGAATTTTTTCAAAATATATTAAAGGAATACATATAAGATTACATTATAAAAAAAAGGGCTCATGTTCTTACTCAAGGTAAAAATTGCAATGACAGCACATACTGATGCCATGAGAAAACAGCCGGCCTCTGTCCATCGTCTTCCTATGTAAGAAGCCCCCCACCAAGCCAAGACAGTTGAGGGAAGCTCAGTTATACTAAGCAAGAAAAAGTTGATGAACTCATTGCCACTCATGTTGGTCGTATTATAAGACAGGCCGTAGTAGAAGAGGTTATTACAAGTGCTGAAAAAAAGAAAGAGAAAAAAATCTTTATATATACATGTATGTGACTACCATTTATAAATGAAATAGCATCAAATGTTAACTTCATCCTGTGAAAGAAAAACAATTTTAGAAAGAAGAAAAAAAAAACATATCTAAACTATAATACAATATCCAGCAGATTATTTTTATTTCATACAATAATGTAGGTTTATACTGGGTATATAACTGTGACCATACCCTGCTGATACAAAAAACAAATAAAATAAGTTATCAGAGACACTTACTAGTTTACTGTCAGCAGTAGAGTCCTCATTCTAACTTTGGAGTATTTGAAGAGTTGAATGAAGCCGTAGTTCTTCTCTGTATTATGAGTATTGGCGAGGACCTGGACTGTCTCCTCGAGTTTTTCAGGTACTGGACGTCCATTACGTTGAGCAATTGTCCTTAACAGATCTACCGTTTCTTTTAAGCGATTGCAAGACAGGAGCCATCGAGGGGACTCTGGTAGGAACCTGAGTTGAGAATCATGGTCAGATGTATAATTTTCATATATACATTATATTTTTAAGATTAGTGAGATATAATGTTTGTATAAAGAACAGGAAATACAAGTCAGTCATCCAGATAAATAAAATTAAAAAGAAAATAGCTAACATAAATTTCATATTCACATATATATATATATATCTATCTCTCTATCATCTATCTATCTATCTCTCTCTCTCTCTCTCTCTATATATATATATATATATATATATATATATATACATATATATATGGAAATTTGTCTGATAAACAAAAGACGACCAATAGATGGTGACGTCACTCCGGAATTCTTTTCCGATGGCCATATTTTTGTTATCTTGTACGGCTGTGGATGGTTTGAGGCAAAAGAAACGTGTTTAAAACAGTTATGAGATATTTCCCCATGTCCAAATAAATAAAACATGAAAACTGCTGAAACCATCCCACCGTCCTGGTATGAACGCACATCATGTGGCAGACCAAATTGTGGGAAATTTCACTCATGGCACATCAGCTCGGTTTTCTAGCAGGGTATCGAAAGGTAGAGCCACAATCCCATATAGTGACTTTTAAGCCTTCAGCCCTACAACACACTATGATTAGTCATATACTCATGATAAATCAAGTTTACAGGTTCAATGTCGCATTTCTCATACATCGAAGACATTTTCTATAAAGAGATGCAGGTGCATTTTACGTTATTTATGTTACACTATTGGCTTGGTAATGTATTTACTGAATATTGTTTTATGCGTGCATTAAACAAGAAAGTAACACAGGGTATGTTATAATCACCAGACTCTGATCCTACGCACTGCTACTGTAATATAATATTTATCCGTTTATGATAGTGTATGATCTATTTTATTATTTATAGCCGTTTTCTTTATCATCTGATGTTTAGAGAACGGCAGAAATGCTGCTACGGAAAAGCGGGTAGCCTTGTGGTAATATCCATTCATAGTATGGTTTTTCACTTCTACACCTAACAGTTCAGCTGGTGTTACATGTCAATGTCACTTTATAAAATGATCCACAGACTAAGTTTCATCTAAACTAAACCTCCTCGTAGGCTTAAGATGAGACTATTGATATAAGACATGTGATGCCCGGAACTGAACGCACGACTTAGCCGCATTGTGTAAAATTTCTCTGAAGAAATTGAATAAGGATCTGCAACGGCTAAAGGTTAATGGATGTGAGACGGGCCTAAAAGCCCTTAAATGCTTCACTGAACTGCATAAACTGCCAGCGGGAACCGGCTTGCACATTGTAGTTTGCGCGTGTATGTGACAAGTTTCTGTAACTGCACAAAACCCGCGCGAGGCCTGACTTAATTCAGTTAGTTTATTACACGCGCCTAGTTTAAGCGTGCGTGGGGTAGCCTCACATGTTTACTCCTTGCTGATCCGGCCGTCGAGGTGTAAACATTTACGAGATGACAGCCAGTATAGAAAAAATGCTAGAATTGATCGAAGTCTATCAAGTATACCCTTGTTTGTGGGGAGTTGAGAATAATAGTAATCACAGAGAAATGGGAATTCTTCATGAGAACAAAACAGATAATAGATAGAGAAGGGGGGCACATTTTTTTTTTTTTTTTTTTTTTTTTTTTTTTTTTTTTTTGCCGGCTATCCAACAAAGTTCATTCAGATCGAAATACGATATTGACAGATTATGATTTTTTTTAATGTACATTATTGTTTCTTCTTTTGATGATCATAAGCTCCTGTAAGGGTTAGGGAAACATATTATTAAGACATCACCTATTATCAGCATCCTCTTAGAATGAGCAAATTAGCACAGCCGAACTGAGAAATGTAAAGGCAAAAGTACGTGCAGTTCAAATGAGCGTCTTTGGGGCCCTTCAGGAAACATGAAGAATATTGTATGCTAGTCTTCCTCAGTTTTATGGATTATTCACCATGATAATCGTTTAAAGTGGCATAATAACACCAAAGCCGAAGTGAGGTTTGGTTAGCATATCGACTTTTATGCTTTGTTTTCATCTTAAACACTGCGATTAAAAATTTTCACTGGGTTGGGGTAAACAGACACATGAACTGTAGTAGCGCTAGTTAATGAAACAGCAACTTGGACAGTAGCTCAAAATTGCGCAGAATCATGTAGGTCTACATTAATAGGATGACATTTTGCCTCACTCTCCTTCTCTCAGTGACCCACCTGTTCACTCCAACGTTACCCACCCTCCAAATATGTTCAAGTGTCTTTGTCTTGAAAATAAAGAAAAACATCTTCCAGTCGAGATTTCGGCAGCGAGATACGAAAGCAACAATTAATTAATAAATCACTTCTTAATTTGATCCAGTTCGTCATACCCCCCACCCCCTCCCGCCCATCGCACGGTTTGTACACTCATGAAAATTATGAAAAAAATAGTAAAATGGTTGACCCCTCCCACCCACACCTCGCGCCATCACCCTCCTCCCCCAGTGACCCCCTTCCAACGGGTAGGTAAGCAGAGAGAGAGAGAGAGAGAGAGAGAGAGAGAGAGAGAGAGAGAGAGAGAGAGAGAGAGAGAGAGAGAGAGAGAGAGAGAGAGAGAGAGAGAGAGAGAGAGAAGGAGAGGGAGAGGGAGAGAGAGAGAGAGAGAGAGAGAGAACAACGAAAAACACCTCCCACCCCCCCTCTTACCACCCAAACACACCATCCACGAACGCCCTGACTCACCACCAAGCCAACACGGAGACGAAGGAGGGGACGGTGGTGATGAGGCCCAGGGTGAACCAGTCTCTCGAAAGCCAAGCGATGAGTGGCAGGAAGCTCATGCCGAAGGTCCACAGGATGAAGGTGGTGGAGGAGATCCTCGTTCTCCAACCCGGGGAGACTTGCTCCAACACTGCAGGTGGAGGAGGTGGAGGTGGATTATTAGTAGTGAAATTATTATTTTGAGATGGTGATTATTGTTATATCATCGCCATATTGATAATCGTTATTGTTATATCCTCGCCATACTAATAATAATTATTATTATAATGACTATTATTTTTTTATTATTATCAGTACCATCATTATCATTATCATTATCGTCTTCATCATCATTACCATTACCATTACTATCATTATTATTACTACCACAATCGTTACAATCGTAACTACGATATTCTTCACTCAGGCCAACGATGTTCTAGAGTGACTTTTAATGAGTAAGTGATTGTTATTCATGTTTGTTTGTTTTTAGATATGGATGGACTATGTTTTGTTTCGCGTTATGTTGGAATTTAAATATCTGCGAGAAAGAAAAATTCGGTGCAAGCAAAAATGATCCTAGTTGCGACTCAAGACTTTTTAAGATCGGCGCCACTAAGTGCATTTGTGTGTTTTCCAATCTGGACTACTACTACTATTACAATTACTACTTTTAATGCTGCTACTACTACAATTACTACTACTATTACTATGCTACTGATACTACTACTACTACTCTACTACTACTACAATTACTACTATAACTACTACTACTACTACTATTACTACTATTACTACTACTACTTACTAACTACTACTATTACTACTACTCTACTACTACTTACTACTACTACTACTTACTACTACTACTACTACTGCTAAATACTACTACTACAATTACTACTTACAACTACTACTACTACTACTGACTATAACTACTACTTACTATTACTACAACTACTACTAAATTACTACTATCTACTTACTACTACTAATACACTACTACTATTACTACTACTTTACTACTAATTACTTACTACATTACTACTATAACTACTAATACTACTAGTACTACTATACTAACTACTACTACTACTACGCAACTACTACTACTATGACTACTACTACTACTATACTACTTTACTACTATCACTACTACTACTACACAATTACTACTACTACTACTTCAATTACTACTACTACTACTACTACTACTAGTTTACTAATATTACTACAACTACAATTACTACTACTATAATTACTACTACTACTACTACAATTACTTAATTACTAATTACTACTACTACTATTACTACTACTACTAC